GTGTGGCAGAATCAGTCTCTAACTTTATTATAGAGCAACACATTCATTGTTATTTTTGGGTAACTTATGAGCGACAGTAGGAGAAACAGGTGGAATGTACATGAGCAAGTTAGTCTCCTTCCAATATTTTCTTTGTTTACGTAGGAAAATAAAAAAAAAGAAATTTTCGTGGTTCCTACTGTATTTAAATATTTTTTTAGATGTTGTCAATGTCGCCTCAGTTCAATGACATTTTCACAGTATATACCAATGTTTCTATTCTCGTGATGTAGCGTAGACAAAGCGTCAAAGAAAGAAAAGGTGATCACCATCTATTAACATAACTTTAGGGACAAAGAGATAAATTCAAACAGAGTAAGTGGTAACTCTGCCTCAAATAATAACATATGCGAGTAGCATTTTTATCTCCAATATAACAATTTTAATGGAGCTATTCGAATTAGGACTAGCCAAGAACAAAATGTTCTCGTGAACCAAAGTAACGCAACGAGAGTAAGGAACTTTCACTTATAAGAATATGTTCTGAATAGTTGATGGTTTTATATTTTTACTAAATTTGTTATTGATTTCCTTTCCATTTTATAAATAATGACGCACTTTGGCAAACCGAGTCGTATACCATTATATTGCAAGTCGGCAAATGGACAATAATTGTCTGTTGAAGAAAAAAAATTCGTAAATAAAATTCGGAGAATAAAGCAAGAAGTAAATTATTTCCTTTTTGTCTTGTAAGAAATTGTTACCCTAAGTCTTCCGCTTATTTTTTATTATTTTTTTTTTAGTTCACTAAGCATCAGTATTTTTACTGAGTAGATCTGTATCTACAGGAAGACGAGTTATTTTCTAAACTTGAAACAAAAGGCCTTTTATAATTTTCATTCATCTGGAAAGTTGAGAGCAGGTTTTTTCCTTTGGTTTTTATATTTTATTCATTTATTTTGGATAGGGACCGGTTTGGCTAGCCTTATTTAAATGTATGAACCGGAGACCACACAAGTAAGAGACTCGTTCAGCGTTTATTTACTTAATTAATTAAAAAACAAAAGCAAAACACTTTCTTTGGAGCTCAAAATTACTTCATAAAGTCGGGCATTAACATCAAATTTAAGTTACATTCATTTTCAGCGTCGTTGTATATTAGTAGGATCCCTAAAGATGCTCAACTTGCTGGCCCCTCAGGTGTGCGTCTTCATCTAGCAGGATCTGTTTGTCATCGAGCCGTCCAGCAATGGAGCGGACACTTTGTTCCCGCTTTTCGTTCGACTTACGGTTACAACTCTAAAAAATTTAAAATACAGTATAACTGCAACCATACCTTCTTGAAACATGAAGAGCTCCTAAAGATCAGAATAATTTTTGCTTTTAAAATTAAGCTAGTTTTTTTCGCTCGTGATTAAAGGGCACCAGGTAATTTTTTGCTATAATTCAGTCCTCTCTTTACCAATTTTACTTGCTGCTTTTTTTAGTCCAGATTAAAAAGATAAATCGTAGTTTCTTATGCATTTACCGGCCTACCGTCCTTGTTTGTGCAGGACAGTACACCTTCGGTTCCTTCGATCATTAGAAGCGACAAGTGACAGTTTTTCATTATTACATGATTTTAAGTCCCTCCTTCAATTTTAGTGTGTCGGTTTTTTTTAGTTGTTTAATGGAACTTGATATAACACTACTTTGGCATTATGAAACAAAATTGAAAAAAGTTTTTCTTTCAGCTGGATCAGAATTTGCATGTTATTCCAACTGCCTTGTCTTAAAAATACCAATTAACGACTTACTAAATGAAATTAAACGTTTTTTATATGTGCGTGTCAAAGTCTCATGGTACTTAGTTTAGACAATTATTAACTTAAATCCCTCGACCATGCAGAGGGAAATTGTCGAAAGAGCATGATCAGCGCAAGTTTTCTCTTTACCCGAGCTTTGAACTGATCCCCTTCGTGGTTCGGACGAAAACAAACTGCGTACGGGAGATAAGATTCAACTTAAACAAAAGAAGGAACAAAATTTGCTCCTTCTTCCACCTGCTTTGTTTGATGAACATCAAGAAGCAAACTTCTTTGGGTAAATTCAAGTCTAATTTGAATCAAACTCCCATGCCACTCCTGTTTTGTAAACCTTTGAATTGAAAGGCTCGGCTAAGCCATGCAGAAGAAACTTTGGCGAACCAACTTGATCCGCGTATGAGTTCAAAAATTAAACCATTGTTATTCTTAAGCCGAGTTGGTAACAACTTTTCCTTAGTGGTTCAAACACGAACGCACAAAAGAAAGAAAAAAATACATTTTCTATCTTTCTCGTGCATTGGCTCACCTCCAGGCCCCACACAACGCTCAAGTTAGCCATGTCATTTCATTCGAAGTACCCAACTCAGGGAGCTAAATTTGATTCGGTTCTTCAAACACGATGAAAACATGCGATGCATACACAAATGGTGTGGCAGAATCAGTCTCTAACTTTATTATAGAGCAACACATCCATGATTATTTTTAGGTAATTTATG